AGTGGAGTTTAGACCAAAAAGCTCAATTTTTGTCTCATCAGACGACATGACCTTCTCCCATTCCTCCTCTGGATCATCCAGATGGTCATTGGCAAACTTCAGACGGGCCTGGACATGCGCTGGCTTGAGCAGGGGGACCTTGCGTGCGCTGCAGGATTTTAATCCATGACGGCGTAGTGTGTTACTAATGGTTTTCTTTGAGACTGTGGTCCCAGCTCTCTTCAGGTCATTGACCAGGTCCTGCCGTGTAGTTCTGAGCTGATCCCTCACCTTCCTCATGATCATTGATGCCCCACGAGGTGAGATCTTGCATGGAGCCCCAGACCGAGGGTGATTGACCGTCATCTTGAACTTCTTCCATTTTCTAATAATTGTGCCAACAGTTGTTGCCTTCTCACCAAGCTGCTTGCCTATTGTCCTGTAGCCCATCCCAGCCTTGTGCAGGTCTACAATTTTATTTCTGATGTCCTTACACAGCTCTCTGGTCTTGGCCATTGTGGAGAGGTTGGAGTCTGTTTGATTGAGTGTGTGGACAGGTGTCTTTTATCCAGGTAACGAGTTCAAACAGGTGCAGTTAATACAGGTAATGAGTGGAGAACAGGAGGGCTTCTTTAAGAAATACTAAAAGGTCTGTGAGAGCCGGAATTCTTACTGGTTGGTAGGTGATCAAATACTTATGTCATGCAATAAAATGCAAATTAATTACTTAAAAATCATACAATGTGATTTTCTGGATTTTTGTTTTGGATTCCGTCTCTCACAGTTGAAGTGTACCTATGATAAAAATTACAGACCTCTACATGCTTTGTAAGTAGGAAAACCTGCAAAATCGGCAGTGGATCAAATACTTGTTCTCCCCACTGTATATGTTTTTTTGCATTGGTCTCAATCCACCACATCCGTCTATATCGGCCTTCCGCATCTGCTGTGGAAGGTGGCCGAGCTACAGCGGTGTTTGTCAGACCATGAGGCATCACGAAAATCGGTCTTCTCATGAAAACATCTGTAGCATTGAAACTGTTTGGGCTACAAACTATACTGAACAAAAATATAAATGCAAAGTGTAAAGTGCTGGTCCCATGTTTCATAAGCTGAAATAAAAGATCTGAGAAATGTTCGAGATTCACAAAAAGCTTATTTCTCTCAAATTTTGTGCACAAATGTGTTTACATCCCGGTTAGTGAGCATTTTATTCTTTGTCAAGATTATCCATCCACCTGACAGATGTGGTATATCAAGAAGCTGATTAAACAGCATGATCACCTTGTGCTGGGATCAATAAAAGGCCACTCTAAAATGTGCAGTTTTGTCACACAACACAATGCCATAGATGTCTCAAGTTTTGAGGGAGCGTGCAATTGACATGCTGACTGCAGGAATGTCCACCAGAGCTGTTGCCAAAAAATTAAATGTTAATTTCTCTACCATAAGCCACCTCCAACGTCGTTTTAGAGAATTTGGCAGTACGTCCCACCGGCCTCACAACCGCAGACCACATGTAACCACGCCAGCCCAGGACCTCCACATCCTTCTTCTTCACCTGCGGGATTGTCAGAAGGGGGAGGGAGGGGGGTGCTCAGAAGTATTTATGTCTGTAATAAAGCCCTTTTGTAGGGAAGAACTCATTCTGATTGGCTGGGCCTGGCTCCCCAGTGGGTTGGCCTGGCTCCCAAGTGGGTGGGCCTATGCCCTCCCAGGCCCAGGCCCACCCATGGCTGCGCCCCTGCCCAGTCATGTGAAATCCATAGATTAGGGCCTAATGAATTTATTAATGAAAACATGGCTAAATACCAATACATAGAAAATGTCCTATGTCGTTATCTTCAGAGCCTAGGCACATTTTTGGATGGAATCAGTGCAGTTCATCCTCCTTTCACCAGACCATATTTCTGGTGCTCCTAAATGTTATGCAGTGCTTACATTAATGTTCTTTCTTCAAATTTAAGAAATCAGCTTTCTGAGTATCTTTGTAGGGCTATTTTAAGCACAATCCATACAGATAATATTTTTCTTAATTCCAGCTATAATAATAAAATATCGGAAGAAATCAGTTATCTGTATGGATAAAATCAGAAACGTATCAGTTTTTTAAAAAACATATCGGTCGGGCTCTATGTATGAGTATTCCTGTATGATGTGCATGGTTTGGTTGTGTTTTATTTGGCAAGGGGGGTGTGGTATGTGCATCAAATTGATCTAAGTAGTATATCAAAACATAGATTTTGCTATGTTATTACATAATTGTTTGAAGTTGTTACTTTATTCATTAAAAAAGTTGTTACTCACCAGTTAATGTAATAACCACCAATTAATGTAATAACTTATTACATTTAGCGGAAACCGTTATTACCTTTACTGCTCACCATTGTATTACGTTTACCGGCAAGTTATTACATTTACCGGGTTTATGACATAAAAAAATCGAAAAAGTTATTACAAATAGAAAAGCTATTACATTTACCGGTGTTATTACATTCACTGTTGTTACACAGGTACATTATGGGACACAGGTCAGGTCACTATCTGGGATCTTTTTGGGGAGAAATTGGTGCGACCAGTGGAAAAGGTTAGTCTAGAGCCGTGTGTGTGTGTGTGCGCGCGGGTTCCTGTGTGCGTGGTTGCGTGCTTGCTGAAGAGTTTGCATGAGTCCATAAATTTACCCTTCAACACACAGACACAGTCACCCGTCCCTGTAGGCTGTGGTCTATTTCAGCCACATAGCTTGCAATGCTAGGAGTGTGGCTCAGTCACAGTCGGGCAAAAGAGAGGAGACCCAGGCAGACAGACCCAGTGAGTGGTTCTGACAGTAGGCCGCGGGCCCTCCTCAGGGCCAGGACAGGGTCCAGGACACACACACATACACCAGGGTTTCTGTTAGAAAAATGTGGCACCGGACAACGTGACCGGCAAGATTTTAATTTACTTGACTAATTTATGGGACACCCATATTCGTAACCCATTATGGCGTCCACGCATGGTACTCTGAATGACAGAAATTGTAATTATGGTAATGAATCTTAACAGAATAGAAATTAGCCTGTAAATTTGTAATAAAATGAAGTAGATGTCAGTAGCTGAGTGTAGATGTGGTGAGGAAATCAAGCGCAGGAAACACGGGCGTACGTCAACAGACTTTAGTGAACAAAAGGCAGCACCAAACAGGCGAACAGCCAACCCAACCAGGAGGCAAAATACAAAATACGCACAACACACACAGTGCGTAAAATGAAGAACGCGCACACAGTGCGGACTCACGGAAAAACAACACACGAGAGTAAATACAACAAGAGCAACAGCTTGACAATAAACAATACCACATAACACCTGCCCCCACACACGAAAACTAAATAGGCAACCAAATCAAACACTAACAAGGGACAGGTGTACAAACAGACAAAACCAAACAAACATGAAACATCGAACGGTGGCAGCTAGTACTCCGGGGACGACGACCGCCGAAGCCTGCCCGAACAAGGAGGAGGAGCAGCCTCGGCCGAAACCGTGACAGTAGAACGATGTTCTTATACCAACATGACCGGTTTTATTGAAAAGAAAAATATTGCCGTTGCGTCTTCATGCCTGCTATAAATTATAAATGAATATCATTTAAAAAAGAAAAAAACATTTAGGGACACCCATATTCGTAAGGTATCGCCTACACAGTAATAAAACACAACTTCAAAATGTTATATTTTTATAATATAATTTGCGAATGACCGGTCATATAGGCTATTTGTATACACATTTTAATTAATAAATAACAAAACACAGCTGTTTTCAAATACAATCTATGCATCTCTAATTTAATTTAGCCTTGGCATGAATATTGTAATTAATAAATAACTAAACATGGCTGTCTACGAACACAATAATTCACCTCTAGATTACTTGTTTTTGCGGCGGACCTTGGCCTACTCAAAGTGAGCCGCTGCTGTTGGGAAGTCAAAACTTGCGATGTGCATCAGCCTCGTTACTTTGTCCTCAAAAAGGTGCGATTTTGGAGACACAATCTTCACAATTTTTTCCCAGTTGCGGTACACTTTTCTGAAGTCCTTTATAATACATAATGTACACTGAGTATACAAAACATTAGGAACACCTTCCTAATATTGAGTTGCACCCCCTTTTGGCCTCAGAAAAGCCTCAATTTGTCTGGGCAAGGACTCTACAAGGTATCGAACGCGTTCCAAAGGGATGCTGGCCCATGTTGACCCCAATGCTTCCCACAGTTGTGTCAAGTTGGCTGGATGTCTTTTGGGTGGTGGACCGTTCTTGATACACACAGGAAAGTGTTGAGAGTGAAAAATTCAGCAGCGTTGCAGTTCTCGACACACTCAAACCGGTGCACCTGGCACCACTACCATACCCTGTTCAAAGGCACTTAAATATTTTGTCTTGCCCATTCACCCTCTGAATGGCACACATACACAATCCATGTCTCAATTATCTCAAGGCTTAAAAATCCTTCTTTAACTGGTCTCCTCCCCTTCATCTACATTGATTGAAGTGGATTTAACAGGTGACATTAATAAGGGATCATAGTTTTCACCTGGTCAGTCTACGTCATGGAAAGAGCAGGTGTTCCTAATGTTTTGTACACTCAGTGTATGAAATTTAGCAGACACTTTTATCCAAAGCAACTTACAGTCATGCATGCATACACCTCGCAGTGTTGAACTATAATCCACTGTATCCATGAAGTGCTGTGATCATCGGTAATTCATCTTGGGGCATCGATCATCGGCACAGGGTTGGCAGATGTCGTTTTTTTTTTACAGCCATTAATGTCACGTTAGTGTATGTGTGTGTGCGCTCGTGCCTACTTGTGCATATGTGCCGTGTGCTATGCTGTGTCCAACTGTGAGCATGTTTTCTATTCACTCCCCAAAGGAGCGACCTCACTGTGTTGTAGAGCAGCTGTGTGTCATATAATATGCGTCATGTGAGTTTCCTGCATGTATCCTGTGTCCCTCTCTAACCAATTCTCTGTTCCCCTCTAGGAGCGTCCCCGCAGTGCAGTAGACCAGCTGTGTGGTGGGGCTGTGGAGAAGGAGAGTGGCAGGCCCAGGATGAGTGTAGAGGAACAGCTGGAGAGAATCAGGAGACACCAACAGGGGGCGCTAAGAGAGAAGAAGAAGGGGCTTCACATCCTGGGGACCAACAGCCCACAGCAGGGACAGCTAGGCCCGCAGGAGAACACACACAGCCATCCACACAGTCACAGGAACACACCAACACCCTCACGAAGCCCCTCGTTCACCAAGAAGAACCCATTCCATAGCCTGCAGGTAGGTAGATGCTCCAGAAGGCACACCAGAGCACTATATAAGCATACATATCTGACCTGAGCTCCAGGTTGGTTCATACACCAAGGTTGTGTTCAGTAGGCACGAAACAGATGAAAACTTTCAGAAACAGAGACTTACTGAGACAGGGATGTATCTGAAACAGAGACGTATCTGAACTTGTCCAATAAGACATTGTCATCTTCCGTTGTAAAACAGTTTGCTATGTGTACCTTTATGAACACAACCCAGGGCTAATTTCATTTACTGTAATATATAGAATTTACAATCAAGAGTCATATGTCGTGTTCCAGAACTGTCGTCAGCGTGACGAGTTGATGAGCAGTGACATCCTGGAGCTGGAGGCGTCACTCAGAGAACAGGAAGTGGTCAGAGAGCAGGAGACGCCTGCCGAGGAGATAGCACGACTCAAAGAGGCCTCGCACACTGACCACTACAACATGGACAGAGAGGTAGGAAAGCGGGGGGGGGGGGGGGGGGGGGACATTAATGTCTGTCGCCTGGTCCCAAATCACTCCCTTCCCCTTGGCCCTAAGATCTGTAGATCTGAAGGGTCTGGATTGGAATAAGCAGTGTAGTGGTGGAGCTTACACCATATCGATTCAACCTTACAGATCTACAATTATTGAAGGGTTACGGCCAAGGGGAAGGGGCAGAGAGGATATTTGAACAGGGCATAGTGTCTGTCATTATCATCTGCGGTATCATCTCTCTAACACCAACCCATTTTCTCTCCCTCTCTCTAGTTGTCAGTCCCTGAGAAGGTGTTGATTCCAGAGCGTTATGTAGAGTCAGATCCAGAGGAGGCTCTCAGCCCAGAGCAGGAGGCTGACAAACAGAAGAAAGTGGACCGCATTAAAGCCCTTATCGCCAAAAACAGGTACTTTTCATGTTGTCCTTTAGTTTGGTTGCAGGTACTATGGTGGATGCACATCCAGACCAACAAAGTACAGTTCGGCTCAGCTTGGCTCAGTAGTTTCAAAAGGGTATTACTGTGGTAATGAAAAGCGACCTATGACTCAACCACATGTACTTATCTTTCCCAGGCATCTGAATCAGCCTGTGAAAGGTCATTTATTACAGCTGGTCAGGACTGGTGTTTACCAGTGTACAGGATACAGCAAATACTGTATACAGTGTACAAAGACAGTTCTGTGTAACATTCTACATTCTAAATGTCAGACACCAGACATTATTTGTATGAAAAAGACTTTGTCCTGTGCCGGGGTAATTGTTTTGCGGAACAACCAATTTGAAGTGTGCGTGCGTAACAACAACATCCTGTGTGGCTCAGCTCTTGGTAAAATGGGAAAAGTTGTGGCTGTGGGTTCAATCCCAATGTACTCACTATACTTTGTCGCTTTGGATAAAACAGTCAGCTAAATGCCATATGTCTCTCCAGTATGCAGAATGTGCTCTCACCTCCCGGTGTGGTGCTGAGCCCAGAGGAGGAGGCTGATGAGGAGGCTACAGCTCACGAGCAGGAGAAGATGATCAACATCTCCTATGAACTGGCTGCTGAGGCTTCCAAACGCAGCAAGCTGGTCGCAGGTACAGCACAGAATGGGTGGAGGTAGAGCAGGACCAACCAAACTAACAGTGACAAAGATGGTGGAGATTACTTGGAAAGACCTTGTCGTATGGACATTGATTTATTCACATATTCACATAACAGAATTCATTTGATTTGTATAACATTTATTTTCTTTACTTGTTTTGTCATTCATTAACTTCCCACAACTTGTTTGTTTTTGCCATTGTGTGTGATCGTGTGTGTGGTCCATGTGTGTTCTGTGTGGTCCATGTGTGTTCTGTGTGGTCCATGTGTGTTCTGTGTGGTCCATGTGTGTTCTGTGTGGTCCTGTGTGGTTTGCAGTGCGCAGCTTGTCCTCCTCACCTCCTCCTGAGCTCCAACCGTCCTCATCTCCACCTCCTAACACACAACCACCACCTCAGCTCACTGATGGGTCCCACTTCATGTGTGTGTAATAGGAGTTGCATCAATAAGTGCGTGTAGTATCGCCCGTAAGAGCCTCCCTCTCTACACAGCCTCTCCTCTCTGTTCAGACTCTCTGTTCCAGCTCTCTCTACACTTGCCGCCTCTCAGGCTTTCAATTGCTGTCAACATTTTGGACAGAAATCTTTCCCCCTTTTCTCTCTCTCTGTCTGACCTGTCTCTCTCTCCCTCTCTTTTTTCTCTCCCTCTCTTTTTAGCCCAGGCCCTGGCGTCAATGAAGACCTACAGGTGAGAGATGTGACAACAGAGAGATGAGGAGGCTCCTGTTTGCTGTAAAGAAGACCTCTACACAAGGACATGATACACCCAGCACAAAGTGCAGACCAAAAGAACTGTACTGGACAGACAGATTAATGGACCACGCCATGCGCTGGGCCTTACATGCTGTCTGCTCAATCTATGCCTCACTGTGACATCACATCCTCCTGTGCCATGGCGTCACTTCATGTGATGTCATCACCCTTTGACGTCATCGCCACCACAACCTCCCCCCTCCCTCTCTTCCCCCATGGGATCACAACTTTGCAACAAAAATACAATAATAAGACATTGATACTGTTGGTTGCTGTTAGAGTAGTTTGTTTGAATATGGCTGATGTGTGTGTCAAGAGTATATGGACTGAAACCTGCTGTGATGATGATGTCATACACACACACACACACACCGTTACGCCATTGATTCTTTCATAGTTTAAGAGTTCGACTGTTCAGCATTGTTTTATAACTCTTATTGCATTTTAGTTCATATTTTAGTTCATATTGAGTTTTTATTCATTTTAGTTCTGTTTTTAAAATGTATTTTTCATCACACAAAAACAACACTGCATAGTAATTCAATCCCAGTGTACAAACCATTTCTGTTTTATATGTAAAAGTATAAATACAGTGGGGGAAAAAAGTATTTAGTCAGCCACCAATTGTGCAAGTTCTCCCACTTAAAAAGATGAGAGAGGCCTGTAATTTTCATCATAGATACACGTCAACTATGACAGACAAATTGAGGAGAAAAAATCCAGAAAATCACATTGTAGGATTTTAAATGAATTTATTTGCAAATTATGGTGGAAAATAAGTATTTGGTCACCTACAAACAAGCAATATTTCTGGCTCTCACAGACCTGTAACTTCTTCTTTAAGAGGCTCCTCTGTCCTCCACTCGTTACCTGTATTAATGGCACCTGTTTAAACTTGTTATCAGTATAAAAGACACCTGTCCACAACCTCAAACAGTCACACTCCAAACTCCACTATGGCCAAGACCAAAGAGCTGTCAAAGGACACCAGAAACAAAATTGTAGACCTGCACCAGGCTGGGAAGACTGAATCTGCAATAGGTAAGCAGCTTGGTTTGAAGAAATCAACTGTGGGAGCAATTATTAGGAAATGGAAGACATACAAGACCACTGATAATCTCCCTCGATCTGGGGCTCCACGCAAGGTCTCACCCCGTGGGGTCAAAATGATCACAAGAACGGTGAGCAAAAATCCCAGAACCACACGGGGGGACCTAGTGAATGACCTGCAGAGAGCTGGGACCAAAGTAACAAAGCCTACCATCAGTAACACACTACGCCGCCAGGGACTCAAATCCTGCAGTGCCAGACGTGTCCCCCTGCTTAAGCCAGTACATGTCCAGGCCCGTTTGAAGTTTGCTAGAGTGCATTTGGATGATCCAGAAGAGGATTGGGAGAATGTTATATGGTCAGATGAAACCAAAATATAACTTTTTGGTAAAAACTCAACTCGTCGTGTTTGGAGGACAAAGAATGCTGAGTTGCATCCAAAGAACACCATACCTACTGTGAAGCATGGGGGTGGAAACATCATGCTTTGGGGCTGTTTTTCTGCAAAGGGACCAGGACGACTGATCTGTGTAAAGGAAAGAATGAATGGGGCCATGTATCGTGAGATATTGAGTGAAAACCTCCTTCCATCAGCAAGGGCATTGAAGATGAAACGTGGCTGGGTCTTTCAGCATGACAATGATCCCAAACACACCGCCCGGGCAACGAAGGAGTGGCTTCGTAAGAAGCATTTCAAGGTCCTGGAGTGGCCTAGCCAATCTCCAGATCTCAACCCCATAGAAAATCTTTGGAGGGAGTTGAAAGTATGTGTTGCCCAGCGACAACCCCAAAACATCACTGCTCTAGAGGAGATCTGCATGGAGGAATGGGCCAAAATACCAGCAACAGTGTGTGAAAACCTTGTGAAGACTTACAGAAAATGTTTGACCTGTGTCATTGCCAACAAAGGGTATATAACAAAGTATTGAGAAACTTTTGTTATTGACCAAATACTTATTTTCCACCATAATTTGCAAATAAATTCATAAAAAATCCTACAATGTGATTTTCTGGATTGTATATAAGAAGAAAGAAATATAGTTGATTTATAATTCAAAGAAGGTGCCACTTTATTCCTACTGCAGAATAAGGATGTAACATTATTTTTCTGGTTGGTTGTAATTATATTTATAAGTCAGATTTTCTGCAGTTCCCTGTCTGTGTCCCAAATGGCACCATATTCCCTATGAAGTGCACTAATTTTGACCTGGGCCCTATGGGCTCTAGTCAAAGGTAGTGCACTATATTTATGTAGGGCATTACTTTTAATCAGGGTTCATAGAACTCCTGAAAAAGTAATGCACGATATAGGGAATAGTGTGCCATTTCAGACAAACACCATGTCGCGCTGTTGTTGCCGACACACGTGAATGTTTTGGCTTTAAAAAGAGATGCTTTGTTTAGTTTTTCTATTGCTGAGAAGAAAAGAGAATATATATTTTGACCAGATCCCTATGGGCCCTGGTCAAAATAAGTACACTATATAAGGAATAAGGGGCCATTTGAGACTCTCACACTTTTTCATTTTACAAAATGTAATTACCAAGAAGTTGTGTATATACACTGTACACGGTACGGAGGGATGAGATGGGAGGATGTAGGTTATACAGTGCATTCGGAAAGTATTCAGACGCCTTGACTTTTTCCACATTTTGTTACGTTACAGCCTTATTCTAAAATAGATTAAATTGTTTTTTCCCTCATCAATCTACACACAATACCCCATAATGACAAAGCAAAAACACATTTTTAGAAATGTTTGCAAATGTATTAAATATATATATATATATATATATATATATATATATATATATATATATATATATATACATATATATGTATTAAATATATATATATATATATATATATATATATATATATATATATATATATATATATATATTTATTTATATATATATATATCACATTTAGATAACTATTCAGACCCTTTACTCAGTATTTTGTTGAAGCACCTTTGGCAGCGATTACAGCCTCGAGTCTTCTTCGGTATGACGCTACATGCTTGGCACACCTGTATTTGGGGAGTTTCTCCCATTCTTCCTTGCAGATCCTCTCAAGCTCTGTCAGGTTGGATGGGGAGCGTCACTGCACAGCTACTTGCAGGTCTCTCCAGAGATGTTCAATCGGGTTCAAGTCCGGGCTATGGCTGGGCCACTCATGGACATTCAGAGACTTGTCCCGAAGCCACTCCTGCGTTGTCTTGACTGTGTCCTGTTGGAAGGTAAACCTTCGCCCCAGTCTGAGGTCCTGAGCGCTCTGGAGAAGGTTTTCATCAAGGATCTCTCTGTACTTTGCTCCATTCATCTTTCCCTCGATCATGACTAGTCTCCCAGTCCCTGCCACTGAAAAACATCCCCACAGCATGTTGCTGCCACCACCATGCTTCACCGTAGGGATGGTGCCAGGTTTCCTCCAGACGTGACGCTTGGCATTCAGGCCAAAGAGTTCAATCTTGGTTTCATCAGACCAGAGAATCTTGTTTCTCATGGTCTGAGAGTCATTTAGGTGCCTTTTGGCAAACTCCAAGCGGGCTGTCATGTGCCTTTTACTGAGGAGTGGCTTCCGTCTGGCCACTCTACCATAATGGCCTGATTGGTGGAGTGCTGCAGAGATGGTTGTCCTTCTGGAAGGTTCTCCCATCTCCACAGAGGAACTCTGGAGCTCTGTCAGTGTGACCATCGGGTTCTTGGTCACCTCCCTGACCAAGGCCCTTCTCCCCCGATTGCTCAGTTTGGCCGGGCGGCCAGCTCTAGGAAAAGTCTTGGTGGTTCCAAACTTCTTCCATTTAAGAATGATGGAGGCCACTGTGTTCTTGGGGACCTTCAATGATGCAGAAATGTTTTGGTACCCTTCCCCAGATCTGTGCCTCGACATAATCCTGTCTCGGAGCTCTACAGACAATTCCTTCGACCTCATGGCTTGGTTTTTGCTCTGACATGCACTGTCAACTGTGGGACCTTATATAGACAGGTGTGTGCCTTTCCAAATCATGCCCAATCAATTGAATTTACCACAGGTGGAATCCAATCAAGTTGTAGAAACATCTCAAGGATGATCAATGGAAACAGGATGCACCTGAGCTCAATTTCGAGTCTCATAGCAAAGGGTCTAAGTACTTATGTAAATAAGGTATTTCAGTTTTTTATTTGTTAAGAAATTGCTAAAAAATCAAAAAACCTGTTTTCGCTTTGTCATTATGGAGTATTGTGTGTAGATTTGATGAGGAAAACATGAATTTAATCAATTTTAGAATAAGGCTGTGACGTAACAAAAGGTGGAAAAGGGGAAGGGGTCTGAATACTTTCCAAATGCACTGTACATCCATAACAGGCTACTATGTTATTATTAGAGTTGGAATATGAACATTTGCATATCATCTGTTTTATATAATGTTAAATAAATGTTGCTGTTATTACACAGTGGTGTTGTAGTGGTGGTTACTATCCTGTCATATAGAGTTGTATTGAAAATGTATAGTATGGACACCTAACTATTCTAACTGGGGGCTGTCAGACAATACAGAGTTGTATTGAACAATATATGCATATGTAGCAGATGGGGATGTGAAACTTACTCCTCAGCCTTAAGTGTTCCGC